GGGGGGCTGAGACACACTTAATATTATCAGCGTTCTGATGGAATTTTAGCGAAAGGATTTTTTTTTTTCAAAAACATAATGTGCACAAATAAGGAATAGTTGTATTAACCATACATGTAAACAGAGTTTTATGGGGCCCCCAGGAACTTGGGGCCCTAGGCAGCTGCCTACTATTGCCTCATGGTAAATCCACCCTGAGTATACATAATTACAGTTATACACAGCCCATCTTATACTGACATAGACCGAAAATGAAAAGTGATTTGGTTAAAATAAAAATTCAAAGTTTGTTTCATTCCTTTTTATAAGGGTTTAAATCCTTTTAATTTACAAACGAGTCCCAGAGCAATGTTAATATTTTATAGTTATTTTTATGATAGGATATGGAACTACAACTTTCAAGCATGGCCTTCGACTCCTTAAGGAAATATATTTCTATAAATTCACTAAACCTATATGATTTTCTGCCTTTGTAATACTGGCTGTAACTTTTCGGGGTAGAAAAACGTTTATTGTAAGCAGGACTTCTGTGTATCTATCCGTTAAAGGAGCATTTTCTACATTAATCATCTGTTTCCAGGTTCATCTTTAACGCACCGTTCTGCAGAACTCTGTGTTGTTTTACTCATCTGAATTGTCTCCTGTTTGATGTGTTTTAAGGTGCAACAGAACCTTCTGGAGCTCCTGGTTCTGGACTGCAGTCCTGTAAGGCAGGGGAAGATCACAGCAGACACCTCTCTGGTTCTGACAGAGTGCTGGGACGCTGTGGACCCTCCTGGCCGTTCTTTGCCCCCCAGGCCCCCCCGTCTGTGTGTTTCAGACTTTGCTCACTATGCAGACAGCCTGGCCGGGTCTCGGTCTCTCCTTGACAGCCGGAGGTGTCTCGGTTCTGGGCTGCCTGACGTCTTGCAGGCGTTGGAGTGCAGGTTGGACGTATCCGTGGTGGACACTCAACGATGGTCCAGGGTCAAAGGCCCGCAAGGAGAGCTTGTGGACTCAGACGGCTGCGTGTTCATGAGCAAACAGCTGCTTCTGAGGCTGGGTCTGTTCAACCACGAGTGGGTGAGGTTGTCTCGGTCTGCTGGGAGCTACAGAGGACCGGAGGAAGAGGTCGATGTCAGGGTTCGCCCCTGCAGAGAGCGCCTGGTCTCTGCAGTCGTGGTGGATCTAACACCAAGTCCAGAACGGGAGATCCACGAGGACGTGGGCTTCATCTCAGCCACTCTGTGGTTCAACCTGACGGAAGGAGAAGCAGTTCCCTGGAAGAACTCTGCGCTGAGGATGAAGGTAATATTAAACACTATAAAACACAGTCTGAGCTGCAGCTGTTCTGATGTGAACGGCTGCCGGCTGGAGCATAAATTAAGCACAAGTCAGTCAGAGTTCTGATAGAACGGATCAACATGAACATCTGTTAAAAATCAAGAGAAGAAATCTAAAAATCTGGAGAAGCAGACCGACTTTGTGAGTAATCTGGAGCGCAGCCATGTTTTATGCTAAGCTGATATCGACTGCATCAGTTCCCACCAAGGGGGACGTTTCAGAGGTTTTTGGAAACTTTACCACATCCTACTGGCCTTTTGTTAATTTTGCGTTTTTGCTTTCCTGCTAAATAAAGTCCTTTTGTGTATTCTTACCATAACACTAGTTGCTTCAAAGATGGATATGACTGAAATAGTGATGGGATTACGTCGCAACAACATTGCCTAACCGCAAGTAGAGCTCAGAGCTGTAAAACGTGTTGGATTGGGATTATTAAAACATGTTGGATTGGGATTATTAAAACATGTGGGATTAGGATTATTAAAACATGTTGGATTGGGATTATTAAAACATGTTGGATTGAGATTATTAAAACATGTGGGATTGGGGTTATTAAAACATGTTGGATTGGGATTATTAAAACATGTTGGATTGGGATTATTAAAACATGTTGGATTGGGGTTATTAAAACATGTTGGATTGGGATTATTAAAACATGTTGGATTGAGATTATT